CCACACATCAGCTCTCAGTGGGGAGGAGAGCAGAGTAATGTAGCCAATTCATAGATTGATGTTATCTGCAACGTCTACTAGTTGTACTATATTTTTGATGTTGACCTATTAAAGATGTTCACCTGTCAAATCTGCTGCACGCACTGTCCAGTGACATTTTGTCCTCCTTCTCTTGGGGTTTGCAGTAAAAAGTCCATAGTGACTTGAACTATTTAAGGTTTGGCATAGTCAGGGATATAAATTTAGAAATGTTTCTCATCTTTTTGCTTGTTCTGCCTGCACTATACTAAGTATTCTTCACTTCTTGAAGAAAATAATTCACAGGTTAGGACAGAGGCAAGGAAAATGTTTTCTTCTCCTTCATTTTTACACTGAAAGTGCTTAATAATAGGATTTATAAAGCTAATTTTCTTTGGGTGTTGTATAAAGTTAATGTTTTCAGAGACCTTAGATCATTAAAGGGTATGATGGCATTTGGGCTAAACTCATTATCACCAGTATTATTAATTCGTAACAGTCTTAACAATTTGCAGTCTAGGAGCTTGTGTTAAGAAGCCTTTGTAGTGAGGTCATCAGATCATACATTTAAGTTTAATCCTTATTTTAGGAAAAAACAGTGGATTGTGTTATTGTAACTCATACATTTTTGTTGCAAGAGGCAAACAGTAGATTTCCGAATATTTAAATATGAAGGTACAAGCATGATGCGTGGTAGAAATTCTGTTGATCGCTGTCCCCTTTCATTGATATCTGATTTTTATCCCTGTAATAAAAAAATGACCATGTGTGGTCTCTTTTAGAAATATTTAGGAATTGACTCTTGTAGTTGTAACATGTTGGATGTTTTGCAGCCACTGTGAGCCATTAAAAAGAAATAAAATGTGGTTTGAAACTGGCAAGCAGTTTTTCACAGATGTAGAAATGTTGACTGTGTTGATCTGCTCAGCCTCTTTGCCTTTTATCATCCTGCGTGCTATTTTAAAAATGTGACCAGCTGGTGTTTTTGGCTGCTTAGAATAGGCTTTGGTGACTTTAGGCGATTTTCTCTCAGAAGAGGTTGAAGCTTATATGCTGCAATTTTTTTTTTAAATGAACACAAGTGTCTATGCCACTTTCTTTCCTAAAAACAGCCTGCTAGAGTAGAGATGAGAATCTACAGCAGGAGAAAAAGAAAGGAGAATCCCGATGGGTTTTTCCCTATATGGATTTGTAGGCAAATGCTCACTGGAACACAGGGATTGTGTTCTGTATGCCGGGAGGATCTTCAGGGTCATTTCCGCACTTTTGTTTTGCAAACTCTTAGCCTGTTTGACAAGAGAAGCCTCTGAGCTGTTCAGTACCGTATACCCTAGATCGCAGCCCTGCAGTGTTTGATACTGCTTGCAGTCAGTTGTGGAGTGAAGTGACCTACTAAAGGCGTTGCACTGTGGAGTGGTCCGGTCTACCAGTCTTAGACTGAGAGATGAGAGCCTTAGGGTGAGGTGTGGCCACGCCAGTTGCGATGGCGTTATTGCAGTCTCCAGGGCGACGGAGCACGGGGGGGGGGGGGGGATGCAGACATGAGCTGACAGTGCAGGTCATCACAGCGAACCCCAGGGCACAGTGAGGAAGGAGAGCTCTGGAAAAGAAATTATGC